CTTTCTTGGCTGGTATACTTAGATATTATCCACAGTTGACCTCAAATACTCCTCCAACATCCCCAGCCAAGCATCTAGAACCAGATCTGTCATGGCGAGTTTGTTGTCTTCAAGGATATCATAGAAAATTGCAACAAACGCACCATTACACCCAGCCGAGCATCTTGAATTAGATCTATTATGGTGGGTTCTACCAAATCCTTGAAGACAGGAAACCTAGATCTGGGTTTCCTCTATTATAACAAAAATTGCAATTTCAATTCTCATCAGTTAATCTCAAGACATACCCAAAATCGCACAACAAACCAGCAAAATTTGCAACTCTTTCAAGCCCTTATGACAGAGGAACACAAATCTCAATTTTCTTTGTTCTATGGCACTTCAAGCTTGTCAGTAGGCATGATTATATCTTGTGGCTTCTAATATGGGTTCCGTTTGGCCCCAACCTCACATGATGGAAAGGGTAGAAAAGGAGAAAGGGAGAAAGGGAGAAAGGAGAAAAATGCTCTCACCGCTGTCGGCCTCTGATCTACTGTGGTTCGAAAGGGAAAAGGCAAATTAGGGAAAGGAAGAAGAAAAGGGTCTATTTGTAATTAGAGGAGAGATGTAATTTTGAAATTTAAATAAGACCTAGATGAGATGGTGATAGAAAAATGAGGTAAGTGCCATGTGGTCGTCCAACTCAACAAAAATGGCCACCTAAGCATCCAACTGTTAAAAAAGATTCCACGATGTTTAAAAAGTCAAACTTAACAGGCAGTTAACGAAATGATGATATCAGATAACGTGGCACGTCAAATAATGGGTTATTTGTCTAAGTCAAAAAATTTGTAGGTAGATTTGTCCTCGTTTTTGTTCGGGTGTGGATCCGTCCCTGCCCCTATAGTTGAGTGGTGGATTTGGGTATTTTGCCTCTTTCAAACTGGTATCAAACTTATACTAAAAATTTTCATTTTTTTGGTATCACGGTTAAAAGGGGTGGGGGGGTAAGTTTTGGATGCTTTGACTTGTGAATAATGTAAGTGTGAATCACTGGTTTTGCCTTTTTATGGTTTAGATGGTGGAAGAAGGGAAAAACATTAGTATTAAAAGTATTAACACATCTAATGACAATTATGATGAATTTAATTAAATTAAATGTTACACTATGTTAACGATTTAAATAATTTAGTGGTAATCAATTTTCTTTCGTTGAAAGTAAAAACTTTGAGTTCAACTCGCATGACATATGAGTGAGATGAGATAAGGGATGAGAGAGAGTTGCCCTCTAATGTGCAAATAACATTAAAAAAAAAAAAAACCTTATACTATGTTTCACATTAAATGTTAAAAATTAAATATTTTGATATTTTTAATATAAAAACATTATAAGTTTTCCTTTTCAACGTTTATGGTAGATTTATAGTTAATACTCATGTTATAAACAATAACATACACCAACCATCAAATATCCATCATTAATTATAGACTGTTTGAAACGGCTAAATTTAATTAGTAATGTAGTTAATACAAGGGTGAAAATCGAAAATAAATAAAAATAAAGACAAATATCCAAAACAAAAGATACTTTATACTTACTACTGTACAAACTGAACGTCAAAATTACAACTTACCACACCGTTTTTTAACCTATCAACATTTTGTTTTCACTGAACTAGGGTTAAAAGCCAACCCCAGCCGCGCCGACTCCAAGCTTAGCCGGCTCGAGCTTTCCATTCTTCCAGAAGCAAGTATCAGGGCCGACCTTGGCGGCGGACCTCATCGGCTCAGACTTGCAGCGCGTCAGCACAAACGGCTCGTACCCTTTACCCCCGACGAGCTTCTGTTCTATCATAGTAGCCATCGACGCGCCGCTAGATGCCTGAACAGCCGCCGCAACAGCGGCGGTGGGTGGTGCAACCGGGAAAGAGCAAGAAGATCTCCGTGGCTGCAGTAACTGCTTTGAGGGTTTGGAGTCGATGCTGATTCTCCTCTTGGGTTCGTCTCCACCGCAGTCTTTTTTCGTGTTGACCGGCAGCAGCACAGGCAGCCTCTCCGGTAACCATCTGATGAAGTCCGTGCTGCAGACCCACGTCTCCTTGGATACCTCCATGGATAGTTTCGGCTCGCACATCATCAGCAGCAAGCAATCCGGCAGTAACTTCGGTTGACTTTCCTTCTCATTTGACCCAACTCCGGCGGGTTCCCGGAAGTCCTGAAAACCTGGTTGGGATCTTTCACAGGCCTCGGTTTCTTCATCCTCTGTTTCCTCTGCAATTGCCTGAGCTTCTGCTGCTTTTTCTTCATTTTCGGAGAATTCTTGCTCGTTTGATATCGTCTCATCTGTATCCTCTCTACTATTTCCCGATTCTGCTTCTGGATCTGTTTCTTCTTCAGAACAATCTTCATTTTCCGGTGAAATGGGTGCATTTTCTTTACACTCTACCTTCTCTAGATCTCCAAGATTTTCCGATGATGATTCTTCGGCTGATTCTGGTTGTTTTTCTATCTCGTTTTCTTGATTTTCTTGATACCCAATATTCCTCTGTTCTTCCAAATTATCAATTAATGCATTCCTTTCTTGATTTTCTTGCTCCTCTGCTTCTTCTCCATCCAAAGCAGACTCTGTTTCCGGTTCTACTTCTGCCTCTGCTGCTGGGATTTCTTGCTCTTCGGCAGCGGCAGAAGAAAGCGATTTTGTACGTAACTCCCCCATTTCATGCTCCATTTCGTCCTCATCAATGGTCGAATGCGCTTCCTCCGCCTTCTCTCCATCCTCATCTATGACTTCTTCCTCTTCATCCTGTGGTGCTGGCAACTCCCAGAACCGGTTTGCGAGGGCAGCCATTTTCACAGGATCAGATCTACATCTCATCAGCAACAATGCATTTTTGGGCGGAATACAAATACTGACTCTTGCCTCCTCTTCACCCATTTTCTCATCCTTGAACTCGTTAATTTCTATATCCTCAAATATATGTCTCCTCTGGCGGCTCCTCATCTCTGTACTCACTCTTCTATCTTCTTCTCCGACCACCAACTCTATATTCCTCTCCTTCCCCTCCCCTTCCTGCACCGCCACGAGCCAACGTGGAAAAACCGCGCCGCAAGAGCTTCCGTTTCCGCTTCTGTTACTCTCCTCATCAGATCCCGCGGCCTTCTCTACTTTCTCTGTTTGGTTGGCCATACACGAAGACCTGCAAGGTAAGAGGCAGTTCAACTCTGCTCCGAACGCCCTCAACGCTTCACATATCGTCACCGGAAAATGCACCCATTTTCTGCATTCTTGTTGCTGATTTTGCTGGTGATGATAACTGCTACTGTGTAAAAAATGACCCCTGTTGTAATCTTGATGGCTACACATGTCAAGACTGCTGGTGCTGGGACTGGCGGCCATGGCGGTTCCACCGCCGTTGCTGTTGCGGTCCATTTTCCTAAAGCTGACTTCCCCTCTCCTTTTAGATCTGGCTCTAATCTTCTTCCCCTGTTTCTTAGTCTTAACTCGAACCTGGCCTATACATGTGACCTTTGGCGAAGAGGGTTCTGGATTCTCCAAAGCACATCCCCGTTTCTTTCCCATTGCGGGAAACATTGGAGAAGCTTGTCCCCCTTTGATGCTGCCATTGCTTCTTAGCCGTCTGCTGAGCGAGGAAGAAAGCGAGATTTGTGAGGGTTCCCTGCTTCGGCCGGGACTGAGGATGGATTTCGAAGAGATTTTCATGGAAGATGAGGAGAGGCGGCAGGTGAAGCAGATGAAGAGTTCGCTGGTGGCACTACTGCTACTACACTGCTCCCGCCGCTGGTGGAATGGTGAGGTCTCTCACTCTGCATCCATTGCTGTTAATCATATATAATATTGAAGTCACAACAATTTGTCCATTTATATTAATAGAATGAGAAATGAGAAATGGCAAAGTTGAAAGGACCCAATGGAGAGGAGGAAGAGAAGCAGAGAAATGGGTGTGTGTGATTATGGAGTTTGCACAGAGAGGGTGCAATGCTGTTTGTCTTTAGCAGAAGTCTTTAACTATAACTGAAGTCAAGACTCAAGAGTTGAATGCATATCGGTCATAACTCATGACTACGGTGTTTTGGAGTCACGTTTCTACTCAAATGGCATGACTATTATGCCTCTTTGCCTTTGTTTTTATTTTTATTTTTTACTCACCTCTAGGTATTCCATAATTTGAATCCGATTAATTTGAAATTAAATTACATCAAATTTCATTTGAGAGAAACATTCTTAATACCTATTTTTTCGTTCATAATACTTAAACTCAAGATTTTATTTACGAAAAACCAAATTTCTTCCACTCAAATTAACATCTCGTTGGTTACCTTTGTTTTTGTTGAACAACAGCGAATAGTCCTCTCTTTTCTATTAACTTCACTTCATCTTTACTGTTAACCCACCTCATCTATGCTGTTATGCATGTAATATGAAACTCACCACCACGGCTCACCTTCAAAAGAAGCCACCCTTTGCCTTTTTAAGGTGCTGAAATTAATTATAAATAAATTAAGGATTTTTTTAATTCTGTATTTTTAAGATACAAAATAAATGTGTAATAAATATATCTTTTATAATTAATTTTTATTAAAAATATAAATTTTGATTTGGAGGTAATTAATTAATTAAAATTATTTATGTGTCAATAATATTAAAATATATATTAATTTTTATAATTTTTAATATTAATTAATTATAAAAATTATATATTTATTACACTTTTTATTTATATTTTTAAGATACAAATTAGATAAATCTATAAATTAATGATGGTATCGAATGCAAATGTATCCATGTGAATGATGGGCATTACCCCAGCTGGATGCTCTAATTAACTCAGCAAAGGTTGGTTGTGTCTTGGCATGGAAAAAGGTAAAATAGGGCCGTTTGGGTGAAATTTGTTGGTAAAAGTGGGAAAGTGAAATAACAGGAGGAGACGTCTTTTTACCAAGAGAAAAAACAACGACTGGAACTTAGATGGGGTTTAGAATCTTGGACAGTCTACACAATTTTATATTATACAAATGCTATTTTACAATTAATGTAAGACAGATTTTATTTTATTTTTATGTTATGTTATATTTGTAAGATAAATTATACTTTATTTTTATGTTATGTTATATTGTTCTTTAACCTTCAAAATGATTACTCCTACCTACAAATTACTTCATGCAATATTTTTATCAAAAAAATTTTAATTAATTTTTCTAAGAAAAATAGCAAGGTATTACTAATTGTATTTTTTTCTCGCTTTAATACAATTAATACCTTCTGTGGCTTTTTTGAGGTATTATACTATTTTATCTTGTATGTGCTTTTTCATAATTTGTAAGGTATACTAAACTAAGAGAAAAGAAAAATCTAAGACGTTGAATTACAATCATTAAATGTATGAGAAATAATATAAATTTAATTTTATCAAATTTATCATGTAACTATTATTAGATGTCTTATAACATTTTTAATATCAAGACATACTGATTTTTTTCTTTTTTTTAAATTAAATGGTTTAATAATAAATTTTCTTTTGTGTTAAGAGGAGTTGGAGTTGAGACATAAGATAAAAAAAATATAATCAACCTATACATGGCAGAACTTAATCTTACAACTTAAGATCAGTAAGATTTTAGAGCTTTTGTCTTAAGAATATAGTAAGGTTTTATGTACACTTACACATTTGATTAGATAACCGTAAATTGGCAATAATCATGTTTAGAAATTGTAGAAGGCCATGGGAAAAAACAAGCATGTTAGAATGGCACGTGGCCAGATCATATATCCGGACAACAGCAAAAAGACACACAGAGGTATCATTGGCACTGTGTTGGGAACATCAATAATCACCATGCCATGGCCATGCGTGTGTGCGCGGTGCAGTGTGCGCTCCTTTCTCAATTCTCACAAAATAGCCGTTATTCTCTAGTCTTTGGTCTCTTCCAGCTACAGCTACAGTTACAACTATAGTTACCAGCTACAAAATAACTGTTATTCTCTTGTCTTTGATCTCTTTCAGCTACAGTTACAATTACAATTACAGTTACCGGTTACCAGTTACCAGTTACCAGTTACAACTACAACTACAATTATGGTTACAGCTACAACTACAATTATGGTTACAGCTACAGTTACAAAACAACAACTGAGTGGCATTTGCGATATTATGTGTGAAAGAGTTGGGGCTTTTAACAGACGGATCACATGGATGCAAAGCCAAGAACTGAGGGAGAGAGAGAGTCCTAATTAAGGTGGCACGTGATTGGACTTCTAGGGAAAGGAATACAATGCTAAATGCATGAGTTCCTTGTATTAATCTTAATGATAACCAATGCATGAATGCATGTATTATACACTTTGTTTGTTAGTGGTAATGTTTTCTATTTTGCTTAAAAAGGGTTGATTTGCCACTAGTTAATGAGTTTGAGGGTTTGTTTGCCATTAAAATGAGTTGAGGGGTTGATATGTCACCGATTGCTAAGTATAGGGGTTGATTTGCACTTTTTGCCTTTTTATTACTTTCTTTTATTAAATTTAATTATTTTAGTTTAATTTTTATATAAA